CTGTCTTCTGTCCTTCCACTGAAGCCCAAACAAGTGTCTCTACTTTCACTATGTGTCTCTCTTTCTTTCTCTCTTTCTCTCTCAAAGCAGCCGTCTGTCCTTTTCTGTTCGTCTCACGTCTTCTGTCACGTCTCCGGTTTGGTAGTAAAAATATCCTGCTCTGAAATCACTGGTTTATGTTTCAAGGCATACATTATATGCATTAAATGTTGCTGCATATTAAGTGTTTTGTACTTGAAGCTATGACCTGCTTTTGTATTGCAACAAGCTATTAGAATTTACTCACCGGCCACTTTATTAGGTACACCTATCTAACTGCTTGCTAACGCAAATTTCTAATCAGCCAATCACATGGCAGCAACTCAATGCATTTAAGCATGTAGACATGGTCAAGACCATCTGCTGCAGTTCAAACAGAGCATCAGAATGGGGAAGAAAGGGGATTTAAGTGACTTTGAACGTGGCATGGTTGTTGCTGCCAGACGGCCGGGTTGGGTATTTCAGAAACTGCTGATCTACTGGGATTTTCACGCACAACCATCTCTAGGGTTTACAGAGAATGGTCAGAAAAAGAAAAAATATCCAGCGAGCGGCAGTTCTGTGGGCGTAAAAGCTTTGTTGATGCCAGAGGTCAGAGGAGAATGGCCAGACTGGTTCCAGCAGAAAGAAAGACAACAGCAAGTCAAATAAGCACTTGTTACAATTGAGGTCTGTAGAAGAGCATCTCTGAACGCACAACACGTCCAACCTTGAGGCAGATGGGCTACAGCAGCAGAAAACTCCGGGTGCGACTCTTGTCAGCTAAGAACAGGAAACTGAGGCTACAATTCGCACAGGCTCACCAAAATTGGACAATAGAAGATTGGAAAAACGTTGCCTGGTCTGATGAGTCTCGATTTCTGCAGCGACATTCAGAGGATAAGGTCAGAATTTGGCATCAATTACATGAAAATAAGGATTTATCCTGCCTTGTATCAACAGTGCAGGCTGGTGGTGGTGTAATGTTGTTGAAATTTTCATAGTTTCATTACGCCACAGCCTACACACGTATTGCTGCTGACCATGTCCATCCCTTTATGCCAACAGTATACCCATCTTCTGATGGCTACTTTCAGCAGGATAACGCACCATGTCAAAGCGCAAATCATCTCAGACTGTTTTCTTGAACATGGCAATGAGTTCACTTTACTAAAAAGGCCTCCACAGTCACCAGACCTCAATCTAATAGAGCACCTTTGGGATGTGGTGGAATGGAAGAATTGTATCATGGACATGCAGCCGACAAATCTGCAGCAACTGCGTGATGCTATCATAACATTATGGACTAAAATCTCTGAAAAATATTTCCAGTACCTTGTTGAATCTATGTCATGAAGGATTAAGGCAGTTTTGAAGGCAAAAGAGGGTCCAACCCTGGACTAGTAAGCTGTACCTAATAAATTGGCCAGTGAGTGTACATATAAAATGTAGTCAAAATTTGTATTTTGTATGTCGTTGTTTTTTTGTGGCACCAAAATATATTGCCTATATTCACTTTTGAATTAATAAAAATCTTAGTGTCATGCTGTATACACACAAACACATACACATATACACATACACACAGTTGAAACTATTAAATTGAATATGTGAATATGTGAGAAGAACATTTAACATTTATAACATTTATTTTTTTAACTCCATTTAAAAAAAATAATGATGTGCCATTTTTAAGACACTTCTAAGTATAGACACTTCAATATAAAAAAAAATTAGATCATACCATTGTAATTTTAGGGTTATTTGACCAAAACAACAGGTAGAAAAGAAAAAAAGTAAGAAAAGATTTATTTGTAGCCTCTTTTGAAAAAACATTTTTATGATTTAAGGGGACCTATTAAGCAAAAATCACTTTTATAAGTGGTTTAAACAGTTGTGTGGCAACAGTCTGTATAAATATAACCAGCCTCTAATGGTAAAAAACTAGAGGCCCCGCCTACTAGTGACTATCTTTCCCTCATTAGCATAGGACATTAGTCTTGTTTTTGAATCTGCCACTATGCTGACACACAGGCATTTGTAGCCCCACCCTCTTTTTGAGAGATCACAACCTCATTTGTATTTAAAGCGACAGTCAGCAAAATGCCAGAATTAGGACCAAAGCCTAAAAGGGTCAGTTTTAAAGAGTTCTAAAACATTATTTGTGGTTTATTTTGAGTTCAAACTTACACACTCTAGAGACCTGTTATAAATATTGTAAAAAGAGGAATAATAGGTCCCCTTTAAAGCCAACTGAAGATGGTTTACTGTACTCCCAACTTGGTCAGACTGATATGTTTGGCTGGTTTTAAAGGTCTGCTAGTCTAAACATAAGACCAGCTAAACCATCTCAGACCAGCAAACAACTTAAGGCTAGATTAATTTCCTTTTCTCCCCATTTATAGTGAAGCTTCAAGCTCTCAGTCAACTATGAAAACCACACAGGCAGACATTACTCATTCAGCACATCTGCATCCTGCGAGGCCAAAAACAAGCCATGCGTTATGAAGACTAGTCCTCTGGCAGCTTTAGAGTGAAAAATATCACCCTGCGATGTTTAAATAGGGTTTTCTATAGATCTCGGTGTGGCGTGCAGTGTGTGGCGAAGTGCAGTATGTGATAATGGCAGTGTGGTGCGCAGTCTGCAGTTTCCCTCTCCACCACTGTTCTCAGGCCACACCTGCCACAACTGGCGCGGGTTGAGCCAGCATGGCTGACCGAACATGCCACCACGGTCTGGCTGCGCGCGGCGGATCCGGCGGTGTGACGCCCGAGAGCCTCCAGATATGATTTGAGGCCTGAAGCGAAAGAACAGAAACCACTGCCTGCATCCCAGAGAGCAAACACACAGATCACAAGAAGAGGAGAGAGAGAAAGAGAGAGAGAGAACGAGTGGGACAGAGACACAGTGAAAATAAATAAACAAAGGAAGGAAATGGCAGATCCGATTGGATTCAATGGATATTTCAATGCAATAAATGCAAGGGTCAAACTCTGCCTGCTGACACAAAATTAAGTTTTTACTTAGTATTTTGTGTTTTTATCCAGTAAGAACAATAGAAACATTTACAATAGCATTATATATATTGTCTACACTCTCCAAAAAAGGTACAAGGTAGTACAAATAACGTTCTTTAAGGAACAGTTTTGTACCTTTGTATAAGTTGGACCTTATATAGTACAGAAAATCCCTCTTATGATACTGTTCTGTACCTTTTATGGTACAACTGTAATGAAGGTACACAATTGTTCTCAGCCCGGTGCAGAGACTGTACAAGGGGCATGTGCAGGAAAAAATATTTGAAGAGTGAACTGAATAGTGCGCGGGGGTGGGTGGGTGGGTGTTTGTGGAGCGGGGGCAATTCTGATCATTTTGGAAGGGCACTTTCTATCCAAGACTAAAAAGGACAGGTTACGCCCTATGTGTGCACGTGCCTGATTGTTCTGATAAAAAAGTAGAGATTTGAACCTATATTGGTCTCACAGTTCTGTTCGGTTACGATTATCATGCCTTCGATTCGGTTCAATTCGATATCTCGGAGCATCACGGTGCATTGACGATGCTTTCCATACACAGTGTTATATTTTGGGGGGAGGCTATAACAAGCTGTCTGTATTAACACACAGCACCACACTGTCTCTCATTCACACACATACACAAACACAGACAGCACCAAACAAACAAACAAACACACACACACACACACTTAAGCACTCGCAATATGCGTTTAGCTGGGAGAGCTCGCGCTGAGCGAAGCAAAAAAAAAAAAAACGAAACAAAAACAACAGAAAAAAAGAAGCACTTTTCTGACGGTCCCTTCTGAGAGCTCCGCTCAGCGCGAAAAACGCATATCGCGAGGGCTTAAACAGAGCAGTGCTCGTAATGTCGAGTGAAAAAAAAAGGAAAAGACAGCTGTGAAACATAACCAGCTTTGTCTTTTTGTTGGAAACACACTTTAGATCTTTTTAGGGTAAGAGGTTTTTGAGTTATTGCCGTCTGTAACTGAATGTGTCAGGAACATCGAAAACAAAACCAACTTAACCCCGCTCATTTCTGCCGCCCCCCTGAATGTACAGCGCCCTTAGCATTTGCCTATACAGCCTATGCCACGGGCCGGCCTTGAGTTGGCTGAGTGTTGTAAATACTCGCGCTCACCTCCCTCGCGACAGAGCGCATAGGAGATAAATGACGTCACTACATAATAACCAGTTATGATAATTACTGAACCGATACCAAATTGTCTGTGTCTCTATCGCAGTGCACCAAAAAACAATTAATTTTGACACCCCTATAAAAAAGGTACATAAGTGTTGGACAACTCCTCTATTACAATATCTATAAAATAAATATTTTTAGAAAGTGATTTATGAATAATTTCCATATTAAAACATGAATCTTTACTAATTTTATTATCATTACTTTCAATATATTAGGCAGTGTATTTAGGATTTGATGAAAAAATATATCTCTGTGTAAACAATGACATCTGTACTTGGCATAAAAATAAAGGAATAAAATTAATAAATCCTACACAGCGAAAAAAAAAAATTCACCGGTTTGTCAAATTTGGTTTGATATTTTATTTGGTTTACTATGTTTTATTTAATTTTCAGACATCTAAGCATTTGCGTTTTATTAAACATTTTTACATTTTATTTTCTACATAACCAATTTAGAACAAAAGTTTCCAAATAATAACTAAACTTCATTTTTTTCCACTGCATGATTGCTTTTAAAAAAAAAAAACATGAGTACCCGACAGACGTGCAGCTCTAAGCATGAATATGATCAACAAACAAATCAGCATTTCTCATGTGCTTCAAAGCCAGCACACTTATTACGTCAAACCCTATCATGCACTTATCAGTAACGACCCCAATTCTTCTGCCGTCCCACAGACCACGCAGATTGATTTCCATTGCGTTCCCATAAGCAGCAGTGGAGTGACAGCGAGCGGCCCTTCTTTAAAGGTCAGCCTGCTCTCATGTGACCTGTGGTTTAGCTGCACTCGATGCTGGAAAAACCCAGAGACACGCAGCACATTCGCAGAAGGGTTGGGGGACATTCAGAAGCGTGCAGCATAGCGAAAGCACGTCTAGAAATGAATCAGAGCATCGCAGAATGACATATCAAAAAGCCTGACAGGTAAATGAAACTCTTCTGTGGTTCACACCTCTGGGAATGTCCTACATCAGCAGGATTGACAACACATTTATAGTCTATAAACAACACAGATTTACGACACCAAGTCAAAATGCTAGACACACCTCGACTCTGATTTTGTTTCTTCAGATTTTGACAGTGATAACTGTGTTTTTATGTGCACCAATAATACAGTTACTTTTAAAAGTAATCTAATCTTGAGTCACTTAAAAACAGCAACTACTGTAAATGTGCTACTTATTTACTTCTTAAGGAATGTGATGTGAAAATGTTTCTTATTTTTAAAGATTTTTAAGAGTGGCTTAATTGACTGCTTTTTTTTTTTAAGATTAAGGTTGTAATATATTACTTTTATAATTTTCAATAATCAGAATATTGATGTAATAATAGCAATAAGAAAGTTACATGACAACCTCTTAATTAAATTTTCATGTATTTTTTATTATTTATGGTGATGAAGATTGCCCCGGCGAGGCAGTAGCATAGTAGGTAGTGCTGTCGCCTCACAGCAAGAAGGTCGCTGGTTCGAACCTAGGCTCAGTTGGTGTTTCTGTGTGGAGTTTGCATGTTCTCCCTGCCTTTGCATGGGTTTCCTCCGGGTGCTCCGGTTTCCCCCACAGTCCAAAGACATGAGTTACAGGTGAATTGGGTAGACTAAATTGTTCATAGTGTATCAGTGTGTGTGTGTGGATGTTTCCCAGAGATGGGTTGCGGCTGGAAGGGCATCTGCTGCATAAAAACTTGCTGGATAAGTTGGCGGTTCATTCCTCTGTGGCGACCCCGGATTAATAAAGGGACTAAGCCGACAAGAAAATGAATGATTGAATGAATGAAGATTGCCCCCAAAATGTGTAAAGCATTTTGAGTTCCTAGAAAAGGAATTGTTATTAATATTATGAATCGGTATTTAGACGTTTTGATAATACGTGTGGTATTGATAACACATGTGGTATAACTGCTATTCATTCACATTAACCTACTTATTAAGCACAATGCCTGAAGGCCTGTGTACACCGAGAAGTTTTTTGCTTGCGTTTTCCGTTGACGTTTAACGCCTCGTGACTATGTAAAGGTCACCATTGTAATCATGCACATCAACGCGCAAAACGCCAGGCGCAAACGTGTGAAAAAAACATTTTAAAAAAAAACACCTCATGCTCGTTTTTATGTTTTAACGCGCCGAGTTAAAACCTTCTCCACAAATCAGATTGGCACTTTTGTTCACATACACGGAGCTGCTGAAGTTACAGTAAACAGCACATGGAGGCGCTCAAGCGCAAAATTGTTAATGCGTGCGCACACTGAAGAAGATGCCCAGAGGCGACATGAACAATAATCATTTCTTCGTCGCTAGAGCTGCTACTTAAACCATTTATGCTTGTTCGAGTCACCAGTAACTTTAACAACAAACGTGTGAACTTCCTCTCTTCCTCTTCTGTGTTACAAGTGGGTGTCTGAAGCTTAAAGTTGTGTAGCGCCATCTAATGTCAAGAAGTGATTTTGCATGCTTGGCTCCTACACATCGGGATGCTTTTCGTTTGTGTTTACTGTCAGCGTTTTACGAGACGTTTTTCCGCATTTAAACCCAAGCGATTTTCACTGGCGTCAAGCAGAAGAGTATGCAAAATCACTCCTTGACGTTAGATGGCGCTACACAACTTTATGCTTCTGACACCCGTTTGTAACACAGAAGAAGAGGAAGAGAGGAAGTTTACATGCTTGTTGTTAAAGTTAGTGGTGACTCGAACAAGCATAGATGGTTCAAGCAGCAGCTCCAGCTCTAGCGATGAAGAAATTATTATTGTTCACCAGAGCTCCAAACAGCTCCAAGTTCATATTACCTCTGGGCATCTTCTTTAATGTGCACTTGCATTGACAGTTTTGCCTACAAGTGCTGTTTACTGTAACTTCAGCAGCTCCGAGTATGTGAACAAAAGTGCCAATCTGATTGGTGGAGTTTTTAACGCGGCTCATCAAATCAAAAAAACGAGCATGAGGCGTTTTTTTTTTTTAAATGACGCTTTTGCGCCTGGTGTTTTGCGTGTTGATGTGCACGATCGCATTGACGCCCTTTATTTAGTCACAAGGCGTTAAACGTCAATGGAAAACGCAAGCAAAAAACGTCTCTGTGTCCACGGGCCTTTCTGTTTGACAGAAAATCGCTTGGGTTTGAATGCGGAAAACGTCTTGTAAAACGCTTATTATATTATCAGACTGCAGTGAACATTATTATCAGACTGCTGTGAACATTTTAAATACTGCAATGATCATTATTATCAGACTGCAGTGATCATTATTATCAGACTGCAGTGAACATTATTATCAAACTGCAATGAACATTATCAGTCTGCATTGGTCATTATTATCAGTCTGCAGTGAACATTATTATCAGTCTGCAGCGAACATTATTATCAGACTGCAGTGAACATTATTATCAGACTGCAGTGAACATTTTAAATACTGCAGTGATCATTATCAGTCTGCAGTGGTCATTATTATCAGTCTGCAGTGGTCATTATTATCAGTCTGCAGTGGTCATTCTTATAAGACTGCAGTGAATATTATTATCAGTCTGCAGTGGACATTATTATCTGACTGCAGTGAACATCCTTATCAGTCTACAGTGGTCATTATTATCAGCCTGCAGTGAACATTTTAAATACTGCAGTGATCATTATCAGTCTGCAGTGGTCATTATTATCAGTCTGCAGTGGTCATTATTATCAGACTGCAGTGGTCATTCTTATAAGACTGCAGTGAACATTATTATCAGTCTGCAGTGGACATTATTATCTGACTGCAGTGAACATCCTTATCAGTCTACAGTGGTCATTATTATCAGCCTGCAGTGAACAATATTATCAGACTGCAGTGAACATTATTATCAGACTGCAGTAAACATTATTATCAGTCTGCAATGGTCATTATTATCAGTCTGTAGTGAACATTATTATCAGTCTGCAGTGGTCATTATTATCAGACTGCAGTGAACATTATTTTCAGACTGCTGTGATCATTATTATCAGTCTGCTTTGATCATTATTATCAGACTGCAGTGGTCATTATTATTAGACTGCAGTGAACATTTTTATCAGACTGCAGTGAACATTTTTATCAACCTGCAGTGAACATTATTATCAGACTGCAGGGGTCATTATTATCAGTCTGCAGTGGTTATTATCAGACTGCAGTGATCATTATTATCAGACTCCAGTGAACATTATTATCAGTCTTTAGTGGTCATTATTATCAGACTGCAGTGAACATTATTTTCAGACTTCTGTAGTCATTATTATCAAACTGCAGTGAACATTATTATCAGACTGCAGTGAACATTATTTTCAGACTGCTGTAGTCATTATTATCAGACTGCAGTGAATATTATTATCAGACTGCAGTGAACATTATTTTCAGACTGCTGTAGTCATTATTATCAGACTGCAGTGAACATTTTAAATACTGCAGTGATCATTATTATCAGACTGCAGTGATAATTATTATCAGACTGCAGTGAACATTATTATCAGACTGCAGTGAACATTATTATCAGACTGCAGTGAACATTATTATCAGACTGCAGTGAACATTTTAAATACTGCAGTGATCATTATTATCAGACTGCAGTGATAATTATTATCAGACTGCAGTGAACATTATTATCAGACTGCAGTGAACATTATTAGCAGACTGCAGTGAACATTATTATCAGACTGCAGTGAACATTATTAGCAGACTGCAGTGAACATTATTTTCAGACTACTGCAGTCATTTTTATCAGACTGCAGTGAACATCATTATCAGAGCACAGTGGTCATTATTAAACTGCAATGAATAATATTTCTGACGGCATTGAACATTATTAAATACTGCAGTGATCATTATTTTTGACTGCAGTGAACATTATTTCAGAGTGCATTGATCATTATTTTTTTAGACTGCAGTGGTCATTATTTTCAGACTGACAGCAGGAATTCCTCTGCGACTAAGTTTTAGAGGCCTGGTTAAAAGGCACAAAACCAGTCCAAGCTTTCAGACCTGGCCAGAGGAAAACCACCACTTCTGAGCGATGAATATTTTACCCTCCCGATCGCTCAGAAGTGACCACAGGCTGCGTTAAGAGTTATTGGCCAGAGGCAAAGAGGGCACTTAACAAATGATAATGCCCATTTCAATCAGGTGCAAGAGACATGGCCAACAGCTGAGAGCCACCGTGGTCAAACCCAAACCACTGAGTCCAGCGCTGACCACACACTCACACACCATAAAAAAAAACATCTACAGCATATGCATGGAGTACATAGAAAGGGGAGGGTGTATACTTATGCACATGCACTCAGGATAATAGATACTGTAAATCTCTACATTATTCATCTTACATGTAACCATTTATCACATGCAAACATTACCACATTATTAACTTTACCAGTCACTAGGCCCACATGAAATATGTGCCAGCATAAACATATTTTATTTTTCAGTAATATTATTGAATAATATGCACATTTATTTAAATTACGTGCAATACTGTTCGTAAAGTAATATTTTCTGTCTTTGAAAGGATGTATTATATGAGAAAAACAGCTGTAGCTGTGTTTACCAAACAAATAGTTCTAACTGGATATTAATACAATTGATTTTTTTTACAGTGTGTGCTAAGGCTTCAGCTCATACACTTTCATTCATTATTTATTTTTATATCTATTTATTATAATACATTTAAGTAAATATTAGTATATATAGTAAATACTATATTTACTAATTATATTTATTAATGATATATAGTATATATAGTAAATAATTATATATATATATATATATATATATATATATATATACATATATACATATATATATATACATATATACATATATATATATATATATATATATATATATATATATATATATATATATATATATATATATATATATATATATATATATATATATATATATATATATATATATATATATATATATATATATATATATATATATATATATATATATATATATATATATATATATATATATATATATATATATATATATATATATATATATATATATATATATATATATATATATATATATATATATATATATATATATATATATATATATATATATATATATATATAGAGTGTGTGTGTGTGTGTGCGCGCGC